TTCCGCTACCCGTCCCCTCACTCTCTCCATCATCCTCATACAATTTCTTTTCTCTCTCATCACCTCCATCTCTATACTCATCATCTTCATCATCACTGCCCGCAGCAAACGCATCATAAAGCTCGCCGGCTCTCCTCTTTCCTCCCTTCTTCATACTCATTTCAGTATTACCAGCTAACGCTTCCGCTTCATCATCCTCGAGGAGATCGAATTCCCATTCATCTCTTGGGTTGTTGCGAAGACGCTTGCGACGCGCCATGTAGAGGTATACACCTAGACCTGCACAGAAAGCGGCGATGAGACCTAAAGCACCGTAGATCCAGATTTGGGTTTTGGAAGAGACGCCAAAGGTGGGCAGGAAAGAAGGAATCCATGTTGAGGGAGTGGTGGTTTCTGATTCTGCGGGTGCAGTGGAGGTAGGAGAGGTTAGCTCATCTTCTGTACCTGAAGGCTTGGCGTTGATAGGTCTATCGGGGTGGTCAGATGGAACACTTGGAAGTTCACCAGTTGGGGCTGCAGGGTTGGTTGGAGCTGCTGTTGCGGCTGATGTGACGCCGGCAATGGTAGTTGTGGCAATTTCGGCGTGATTATCATCGTCATGTTCAGTAGGCATTGGAAGCACGAGTGCTTTTTCGGCATCGATACACTCTCCCCATAATTTGAGATGCCAATCCGTGAAAGTTCCGTTATTTTCGTTGACGAAAGCATCTCTGACAGTGATGGTCCAAGTTCCAATACCAGATTCACCCCTATATACTTATTAGTGAAATGTTACAGATTGGTCTTGGATAATATTTACCAGTGAACAACAGACATGAAAGTCCAATCGTCATATCCTCGGGCTCAGAATCATAACGTCGTGACGCAGAAAGATGGCTAACTAGCTTGTCTGGACTGACCAAGTCGACGCTCAAATCTCCTCGCTTAGTGTGCGCAATGTTCATTGTGACTTGGACATGCTCCAATCTCTCCAAATTTGCTTCTTGTAACATTTCTTTGGTAACTTCAAAGGAAACCGAGATACCGTCATCTCCTTGGGGAATGGCTTGATTGACATGAATCCAAGGAGAATAGAACCAAGCTTGAGGCTTAACATTCTTGAAATCTTTTGCGGCTTCGATTGTGGCCCAGGTATCAATCTTTCCGTATCCAAAAGTATGACTGAATTTCTTTCCAATAGTTGTTGTCTGCCATTCACCAGTGTCAAGATCAACCGGCAAAGCAGTTGACATGACGAGGTATTGCATATCTCTCCAGCTGAGGTCTGGTCTGATTTGCAAAACCAAAGCAAAGATTCCTGCTGCTAGAGGTGCAGCAGCGGAAGTACCACCATGTGCATCAGAACAAGCGTTCGTACCAACATCAGTTGTGTGCTATGAGAACGGTTAGCTTTTGTTCCGTATAAATTGGGAGTAGAACCTACAATGGAATCTCCACTTCCACTACTGTATGTTACTACAAGCTGGGCAGAACACTTCTCAGAATAGTATGGGTGTAGACCCTTTCTATCGATCGCTCCGACCGTGATACTGTAAATACTATTGGTATAACCATCAAAGTTACAATTGTCTTCGTTCGCGGCGCCGTTTCCAGATGCAAACACATAGATTGAACCTAACCCCCCACGTCCCTTTTGAACTGCATTTACCATGGCCCTTTTGATGAGTATACCTGGAGCGTCCATCGATCTTCCATCATCAGGAGGACCCCACGAGCAAGAATAAATCTGATTGTGCTGATATGCGTAATTCATGGCGACGGCTTCATCGGCATCTGTAATCATCTTGGATAAAATACGAATTCCAGCAATTTTCGAATCGTAGGCAACTCCGACGCCACAAACATCGTTCTTGGCAGCGGAAACTTCACCAGCACATCGTGTGCCATGCTTATCATCTGACAATCGAGGTTTTGGCTCTAGAGTATTCTCGTTGAAATCGTATGACCCTTCAGCGTAGTAATTGGGCTTCAAATCATTGCTGTACATGTCTAAGCCATCATCCACGATGGCGACAATCGAGCCCGTACCAGTGATATTCTGCATCCATACATCGGTAACATTTACATCGTGTCCGACTTGTACTGGATTATACAAATGCCATTGATCTTTGAATATTGGATCTTGAATTCCCAACGCCTTTTGAACGGCTTGTTGTTTCGCAACCGCGGCATCGACCGGTGGTGTGGTATCTTGTCGTTTATCGACTTCGTATCCTTCAGGCGCGGACCGCATTAAACCTCTCTTCTCCATTCTAGCCTTCAACTTTTGTTTTTGGGCATACCTCACGGTATCCAGAATATCAAAGTCGCTCAGCTCCCGCTTCCGTCTCCGCCGCATCTTCAAAGCTGTATGCACAACATCTTCATCTTGCTTGTGCGTTGAGAAAACGTGGTGATCCTCCAACTCTCCCAGTTGGCCATCGTGAGTTAAGCCCAATCTCCCTGCGACTTGTACTGGATCTGCGGTGGAATCGAGATGTAGGACATAGTAATCTTGAGCATCGTAATTTCGTGGGCGTAGATTCACCGCATTTGCCAAAACCCCCAGACCAAATAGGCCGATGAGTGTGTGTAATTTCATGTCGTGTTATAACGTCGCGAGTTTCGACGCTGAATTGAGGATCCAATCCCTTCACACCGCGAGTGTAGTTATAATCAAACGGAATCTCTTAACGGTGTCGCATGGATGATAATCTTCTTCTTTTCAATCTCGACTAATAATGCCACATGAATTATTGGACGTGTAACAATAAAGTGTTCAATTGAGAGAACAAAGGACTCGTAAGTCCGGTAGGTTATTGATTAGGTGGTATCAAGCGCTGCGGTGCGTAGCGTAGCGTAACCTTATTTATTACTACGGAGTGCCGATGGATGCAAAGTAAGCAAGACGCAGTGATATATCTTCGCCACAAAGGATGGGTGTCGTGTGCAGCGAGTAACGTGAAGACAACAATCAGAAGAGAAATACTGTAGGATACTTTTGTCAATGGTCAGTGAAGAGGGATGAGATGGTATTAAATAAATAAGCAAATGGACAGATGACTTTAGGTTTGATCTGATGGTGATCCTTCACGTTTTGACTTCTTTGATGTTTCGCAGTTGTTCTAGGTTGGTGTTCTTAATAAGGAGGGTCGTGGTAGCTTTGAGCAGGAGATGGGCGTGGTGGGTTGGTAGGTAGAGAGGGAGCTTTCTAGTCCTCTTACCCTTGGGCCCTCTGGGATGGGATCAGAACCGCTCGCAGGATTAGGACGGAAGATTAGAAACAGAATGGAGTATGCGATGTTGTGGATTTTCTATGGATTCCCTAGCTAGACGGTGTCCTTTTCGCACGGATTTCCATTCGCACTGTGGATGGAAGAGAAGGAGGCTTACGGACTAACTATTTCATACGATGATGTTTCATGAATAATATTCTGGTAGTACACATGGTAATGGTTATTTATGAGGTAGATACACGTATGTAATTTGAAGGCAGGTTATATTCAGCTGCACCCGCGCTTACGTAGATTTCTGCATGTAAATAGGTATACAAATAGGTATACAAATAGGTATATATACAATAGACGCTGCACTCGAGCATGCCATAATCATCATCAAATTCAATCGTCGGTCTGACTCCCGACTTCTGACTCCTGAGGGCGGCTTCAGCGTGTATGTGAATGGGACCAAGCCAAGATAGCGCTAGAGTCCTTGGTCCCTCAAACTCAAAGGCGTATATCAGATCAAGTGTGCTTTCAAGTTCTATCAGGTACAAGAGTCAAGAAAGGAGCAGAAACAAGCATGACTGGCTCGGTAGCCGTCACTTCAAGACATCCAAAGTACCTCCCTAGTACATATATACATATATACATCGCTACATCCCCTCATAGTGACAGTTCCAGGATCTGAGTAGGACGGCAGGCATTCGAGCTGTATGTTCAACAGCTTTTCCCGCGTCTCATCATAATCTTCAAGGCTTTACATGACACTACTCCTATACCTCCTCTAGTATATGCCTTGCTCCATACTTCCATGCTTCCACACAGTATCGTGGGCGTAGGTAGTCGCGTAGTGTGGGGAATGAATATGCTTACGCAAAATTGAGTTGACGTGCGTGAGGTACTCAAGTCTCAACAGTTCCACCCCCTCATCGTAAATCTTCAATGCTTCCCATACAGGATAAGATCTTACTCCTTATATCAATTCTTTCTCCCATACAGCAACTGTCCATTTCGACATCTTCCGCCGGTACCTACATGCCAGAGTCATGTTTCGCACGCTAGCTTGGTTTAATGGCATCCACAATCACATACATACAACTTCTTCATGCCGCTTTTCAACGAACTGCTTCACACTAACGGTGTCCAACCTCAACCCAACCCTCGAAAACCCTGGATGAGCTCCCTCGATTTCGTGTCTTTCGTATCTTCGTGTCTTCGTCTTATCCAATTGATCTGTGCCAACCTAGTCAGTCTCCAAAGCAGCAGGCCAAATTGTATGCAAGCCCTTTTACCGCTAATGCCGGGATTTCCAAGGGTTTTGGTGAACTCTGCCATGAAAAGGAAAAAAAAAGAACGAGGTATTTGATAGAACAAGAGGCCTAAGGTGAGTGAATGTTGTGATACCCAGCCTCCGCGATTTCTCACCATCGAGTCAATCCTTATTTTATCAGATCTTGCGGTTCGCATATTCTCTTGCTCTTGCTATCCATTCGCATCTCGCGCTAATCATGTTATCCCATTTCGAGTGAGTTCCAAAATCGTGCCTTCACTGATGTGCCCGGCGTAAACCTCGAGTAAGGATAATCTGATGACGACAGTGAAGATAAATTATCAGCTCACAAACTTCAGTACGCAACCAACAAAGATATCGCCTTTGGATCCCACTTTGTGAACATAGGATTGAATATTGATTCTCACAGAAATATTATCCTTTGATCTCTAGAAAACTTTTAAGGTTCATTTTGATACCGACTTGTCTAGAATTGGAAGGCAAGAGTATTCGTCTGAATCTCAAAAAGAATGGCAGCACCATATTGGGGGCAACTGCCTCCTCCAAAGGTCTCAAGGCAAGGCTCAATTGGCTCTGCTGCAGATCCAAATTCAAGAAAGAACAGTCTACCTGTTGATACAAAAAAGGACCGACTTGCCTCTCAAGATCCAAGACGCAATCGAGAATCGACACAAACAGAAGCTCCTACGATATCTACACAAAGTCCATTTGCTTCTCCGGTTGCTTCAACCTTTCGGGGAGATGGTCTAGTCCCTCGACCTCCATCATTCCCATACGATACTCCCAGCACATCCTACGATAACGATTACTTAGAGAAGAGGAGAAGGCGTGGAGAAAGTCGGAACAAAGACAACCTACGCGAATTCAACCAGGCTACTTCTCCACCAATTGCTGCGAATAAATCTAGAGCACCTCCATCAGGTAGCTATAACGAGCCCGTGGCTAGTGGACCATTGTTCGCGGATCAAACTCCAGCAAGATCGAGGCCAGCTCGCAAATCGGATGGTGCCGACACTATAAAATCTCAGGAAACGAACTGGGAAGTCCTTGGCACATCTTCTTCTATCAGTGAAAGAGATACTATTCAAAGATCTAATACAACTGGTAGAGGCGACAGTAAGGGCTACTCGCGCAGAGGAGGTCATACATCAAGTGGAGAACGGCCTAGACGTAGTCAAGCTTCTGATTCACATACTAGAAAAGCTTCATATTCTGAAGCGGCAGAGGTCCAACGACGGAAGGAGTGGGCATCAGACAGGTCTCCTTTACAAAGATTGGAATTGACCCTTGACAGCATCACTAAAGAGGAGAAGCGAGCACGTGTGGAAGAAGCCGAGCGTGTAATCAAAGAAAAAGAAGGAAAGCCTACACGCACTGTTGAGCAGCCCACACAAAACACAGTCCGCTTCAGAAATCGACCAGTTGCCAAAGCTCCCGAAGGTGGTTTGCAACCAGAAAGGCGACCGGTTATCGCCGAAAGCCTTCCGCGAACTTCAAGTATTAAATCACAAGAAAGCTTCACACGCAGTGGATCTGTCCTGGAAAGGAGACCAATTACACATACATCACCTCCAATTGGTGTTATCCAGGAAAGAAGTCCCATTTCTAGTCGCGATATCGAGAGCACTTCAATCCCACAGCGCACATCCAGTAAAAAGCAAAAGTCTGGGTTACCAGTAGCGGTTGGAGCTGCAGCCGCTGTTGAAACTTCTGGTCCTCTTTACCGAAGCAAAAGCAATAAATTGAGAAAAGATCCACCACCAGATCATTGGAGCCGACGCCAGAGTGGGACTGACAGGCAACCTGAGGACGACGTGCTACCTAGTCTTGCAGCGGGTCAACAAGCTCTGCCACTTCCTCGGAGAGCAACAGAACCCATTTCATCTAGAAACCTGCCGGTTCGTGAACCAGAGTTTCGTGACGAGTCTCCATTCGACTCGGAAGAAGAGACGAGGGGCATCTCCTTTAGGCGGGGACCGAAACGAAAGATGGAGCAATTGACTGGGCAGAATCCATCTTTAAAGCATTCGTCATCTGCCAAATACGATCGGAAAACAAGTTCCATCTCTTCAAAGGATCATGCATATCCACCTATAGCTGATGATGGTTCCATTGATCAAGAGGAGCACCATGATCATCACGATCATCATAATCTTAGTGAAATCTTTCATCACCATCATAACTACGAGCCAGGGAAAGGATTATATGCTCCCTCGCAACGACTTACTGAGTGGAAGAAGGGTGAGAAAGCTTTGCTGGCAGGTGCTTTGTTGGACCTTGAAGACGAAGCAAGTGAAAGTGACATCGGTCCGAAGGGGCCGTGGTGGGAAGCTGGTCACAGCAAGAAACGCTCTGTCAAACAGAAGAAGGCTGAAGCCTATGACGGGGAATATGATGACAATAATGGTACAGTACCTTTAGCTTTTGGTTCCATGGAAGACTGTGCCGGTTGTATTGCTGAGCAGCATCTATCAACTAAAACTCGCAGCTCTACTAGATTTGTTAAGTTGCGACCGAAACACAAATCTGGTTATGCGAGTAAAGTGATTGCTGCGAACCAATCATCTGACAAGCAGAAATCCCCTTCTACCCCCCCTACTCCAGATCATTCACTAACATGTGCAATGCGGGTCATCCGCGTTCGTCCTGATATAGCTCCTACTAGATTTAAACCACCTCTATTCCTAAAGTGCGGACCACTTCTACGTTACCATGGCATACGTTCCGAAAAGACATCCAGTCGTTCAGTGGCTCGTGGCCCTTTGCCAGAACGTGAAGTCTGGAGAGGAAGTGTTATGATTGTGACTCAGGACTCAAGTTCATCCTACGAACTTGCTCCAACTCTAAGACTATTTTTGCAGCCTGTGGATTTGATGCCACCCCCGCCAGCACAAGTCGATGGCCAAGACCTTGCTCCAGAATATATTGACCCTATCGCAGGAATGACTAAAATTGGACGAGATGGTAGGACGCTCTATACTCGTCCTGTTGAACATCTTCCAGAACAGCAAGATCTCTCAAAGATTGAAACAGACGAAGGATTATTTGAGTCACATCGAAGCAATCTTGATGGGGGCGCAGATACGAAACGGGCACGCAAGACACAGCAATATGATGGAGAAAAGGCTGGGAAGTTTAAAGAAGTGCGAGGTTTTCGTTTGCATGCAGACAAGGGGTTCACTTTCTGGAGATTTAACATTGAAGTAGAATTGCGCAGCAAGCAACAAAGAATTGCCTATCGGATCAATCGTGGCCCAGCTACCGGTTTTTGGGTTCCAGCTCGTGGGCAAGCGATGAATATAATGTTCTATAGCTGTAACGGCTTCACCATGGATATTCATCCAAATGATTTTAGTGGACCCGATCCTTTGTGGAGAGATGTTCTGAATACCCATCAAACACAACCATTTCATGTCATGCTTGGAGGCGGTGATCAGCTGTACAACGATCACATGATGCAACGAACGACCCTCTTCAAGGAATGGCTCAATATCAAAAATCCTCTCCGTAAAGAGGCTTTACCTTTTACACCAGAGATGCAGGATGAAATGGAGCATTTCTATCTAGACAGCTATTGTATGTGGTTCTCTCAAGGTCTCTTTGGAGTCGCCAACTCACAAATTCCTATGATCAATATTTTTGATGACCACGATATTATCGATGGATTTGGTTCTTACTCTGATAGCTATATGAAATGTCCGGTTATGTCTGGCTTAGGAAGCGTGGCGTTCAAGTACTATATGCTCTTTCAACAACAAAGTAGTATCGATGAAGGAGAAGATACAGAGCCTAGCTGGATTCTGGGAGCACAGCCAGGACCATACATTCCTGAATTAAGTCGAAGTATCTTCACAGGTCTGGGCCGTGGAATTGCATTCCTTGGCATAGATTGTCGCACCGAACGAATGAATGATGAAATTGTTACGGCTGAAACGTACACGAAGATTTTTGATCGACTTGAGAAGGATATCATCAAGGGTCAGACAAAGCATCTCATTGTTTTACTGGGGATACCGATCGCTTATCCAAGGATGGTCTGGCTTGAAACTCTGTAAGTAAATTTCAGTGGTCTATTCTCAATTCTAACAGATTTATAGCCTCACTTCCAAGGTCATGACGCCTCTAAAGGCCATGGGCCGTGCTGGATTGCTCGGAAAAAGTCTCATGAATCATTTTGATGGTGGGGTGGAAATTCTTGATGATCTTGACGATCATTGGACCGCGGCTCATCATAAGGAAGAGCGAAATTGGTTGATTCAAGAATTACAAGATTTGGCAGCCGAGAAGTCTGTTCGAATCACAATTCTAGGGTGTGTACAACTTTTCATAATGCTCGGAGACAAGGCTAACATAAGCAGTGGTGACGTCCATCTCGGTGCTATTGGCCAATTTTATTCAAATCCCAAATTAAAAATCCCTAAGGATCACGATTATCGTTACATGACAAACATCATATCTTCGGCAATTGTCAATGCACCACCACCGGATATGCTGGCTGATATTCTAAACAAACGTAACAAAGTACATCATTTTGATGCAAACACAGACGAGGACATGATTCCAATCTTCACTCATGATGTGGATGGCAAACCTAGAAACAATAAACGGCTACTCAACCGTCGAAATTGGTGCTCGATACGGGAATATAATCCAGCTCTAACTCGTCCTAGTTCACCAGACGCCACTACTTCATATGATGGCAGTATCTCACCGGTACCTAGACGCGGCCTATTGCGTCGCTTTACTACCAAAGGCCCTTCATATCGTCCCGACGCACCACCCTTATCAAATGCATCATTCTTCAATAGACGCCCGTCATTCTCACGGCCGTCATTATCTTTGTCCCGTCGGAATTCCGCTGAATCTGCAAGACCAGGAAGCCTGAAAAGGACACTATCTTTAACACGAAAGGATTTCACTGGACTTTTCCGACGAAACAGTAAACGCCGAGACTCGGGTGGTATCAATGGATACGGCTCAGAAAGCGAAGACGATCTATCCTACAACCCAAATCTTGATGGTTCAGCAACTATGCGTGGTGGAGCAGGCGACGAATATTATGCGTTTGAAAATGAAGCTCCTCGTGCCACCTCCTACTCTGAAAAACAAGCCGCAACTTCTGTCGCGGGAAGTCAACCACAAGAACCGGTTTTTCAAAGGAACAAATTTCACCGTACTCCAACTGGTTTATCTGAGAAACAAATTCGAAAAGGTAATTACCAAGATATCAATTTGGAGGGTGGATTAGATATCTGTTTGAATGTGGAAGTCAATCAGAAGGATCCAGCGGGTATCACTATGCCGTATAGACTCTTGGTTCCGGCGCTTTGGTATGAAGATGATATGGGTGATGAGGCTGCAAAGAGGAAGAGAGAATATGATTTGATTTTGTGGTTGAAGAAGAAGAGGGCGACCAAGGGACAAAAGGTGGATAATGGAAAGAGACTTGAAACGGCAGGGGATAGTGCGTAGAGAATGGCGATGGGAGTGAAATTGAGGCGAGAGTGGATAAGGAGGAGAGGTAAAAAGGAGATGAGTGATGATGATTACGACGATACGAAGACTAATGGATGAACAATGAAGCGAGCGAGCGAGCGAGCCAGAAAGAAACAAACATTAAAATACCCCCTTTTTGCCGAAAAGTATTTACTATTTTGCTTGGTGTATCTTTTACTCTTTTTAGTTTCTTAACATTCTTTTAATGTTGTGTTACTTAGGATTATTGCTAGGTCTGATTTGGTGGGAGGGGAGTGGGACGGGATTATAAGTTGAGGATGAAAGAGGAATTATCGAAATAGTATGATACTGTGGGTTGATGGATAGATGGATGGAAAGAAGAATGGATGATTTGTTACAAGTGAGATGGACTTTTAGGTCCGAATCGTTTAGGGAGATGGGATGAGATTGGAACTTTTAGGTTCGTGGTTTAATAGATACCTATCTAGGTATACAGAGAGAATGACATGGAAGTGAAGGAAAGTGGGGAATGAATTCATGATATGAGAATTTTTTTTTTTGTGAATTCAGCTGTGAGTTTGGTGATTGTTTTGTGGTAAGATCTGGCTGGGCCAGGCTCTGCTACGGCATGTTTCGTCACAAGATTTGTTTGAACATTCAAGCATACGACTTCAACACCCCTCGATCAGATGAATGTTGGGGGAAACTGCTCTTCCCTTACCCCGCAACTACCACTCATACAATAGTTTCTTTATTATTGATGTGCTATAGTACTATTATTGTGTGATCATTCACATCCTGCGGACTAGAATGTATGCATACGTATATATATACTAGCCACCCTTGGGTATACCCTAATGACCAAACGCCTCCATCTACTATTCCATGCCACGCCATGCCATTCAAAGCAAACATCCAATCTCACTCGTGAGATCAGTCCATACACCAGATCTTTATTCTCCAACATGATGAGAAACGCTAGCTTCCCAATCTCGCAATCATTGTGGTGCATTCTCCTCGCCAGGCGCCAAAACCTTAACGCTTCTTCTCCTTTCAACCACAGGACCACTACTTCCGCCTCCTCCCCCAAAGCCTAATGCAACTCTCACGCCTTCCACAGCCCGACTCTGACCCACCTCCCTGACATCCCTCCTCACGCTCTTTCCTCTATCCCATCTACCCATGCCTCCAAGACCTGCCCCGGCAGTCCGTTCCCTAACCTCTCTCTCCAACTCCCTAGCTCTCTTTTCTTTCCTTTCCTCTACCAATTCGTCTCTCCATTTTCCCTCTAAGCAAGGATGCATACAGCCCTCTAGCGGGCACATTCCCCCACTATACCTATCGCCCTGATCGCCATGCCATTCTCCCATACAAGCTGTATGACCACCGTGTCCACAACCACCACAATACCACCAGGTTTGTGGCCCCTGACTACCTGGTACGTCATCCCCATGCTGACAAATTGGACAATTCATGATTGGATTTCGACAACGGGGACAGGACCATTCCGAGCCAGGGACGAGCGGGTCATTCTCAAGAGGTTTGTTGCACTCTGTGCAGTAGAAGCCGACACTGACTTGTTCCTGTGTAGACGCAACAATCGAAGAGTAGAGCGGAACGCACAGATTTCGGAGAAGAGTTGCTTCGTAGCAGAGCTGCATACTCATAAGTCGATGGTTGTATTGGCGGAGGATGGCTTCAGCATGGATTGGATCAATGACATCAGGAGGAAGGAGACGTCGAAGGAGGAGGACCATTGCAGCTGCGTTCAACGCGCCAGTTTGAGTTTCGAATTCGATAGCGCGTTGAACAAGAGTGGTGGGGTTTAGTGGAGGGATAACAAATTCGGTGTCATCATCGCTGGGCCAAGGAAGGAAATCCGTTTCGATGAGGTTTGGATCGGACGAAACGTTTTCAAAGGCGGATTCAATTGTTTTCGGTGCTGGAGGAACTTTGCGATGTGTTTGGACTGGTGAAGTGACTTTCGGGGCTGGAACTACAATTTTGGGCAGTGCTTCAGATGGATTCTCCATAGATTCTTCGGATGGGCGAGAATTGAGACTCGATGTAGCCTTAGAATATCCAGCAACATTGCCTTCCCAACTAGAAACTCTCTCTCGCAAAGACTCATCTCTCCTCACACTATGAGCATCACTATCCGAACCCCCACCGAGGTATTTGGACTGGGAATCATTTGATGTTGAAAACATTTGGAAACTTTCCCCAGAATCATGACGAATGAGACCCATTCTCTGAGCGTAACTGTTTTGTTCGGAATAGTCTAAACGAAGAGGCTGTTTCTTAGGCGGAACAAAATCGACGGCTGGCTTGAAAGCATCCATACCATAAAAGTCATAACCTTCTACACTTGATGTTGTCTGGTCAGAGGTAAAACTGCCAGTCACTGGCACTGGTATCGGCTCACGAACTGTCGAGGTGACGGATGGTGGAAGTACCAACGTGTCATTTCCTACCATTGGTGTATTTATCGCTTCTGACATTTCTGCAATAGAATCCATAACAGGGCGTACAAGTGGCGTTGCCACGTTTGAAGTGCTTTCGATCTCATCCGCAATGATTGATCTCACGGCCGGATGAACGGCCACTTCATTTGAAGCGGCAAGACGTTGATTCTTTCGGGGCGTCTTTTCATTTGACTCATCCAGTTCATCAATTTTCGTAAAGCTGTCGATACGTTTTGGTCCCGAATCCTTGCGCGAGAGATTCTGCAGTCTGTGCTGGCGATGAAACTCTGCACGTCTAACTAGTAAAAGATCCATTGTGAAACCAAGGAGTCTCCACGTTTGAGCCAGCCGATAATATCTGGCGTACTCGGCACCTTTAGCAAAGTGTTCTATGGTCGCTGAAATAGTGACATTCAAAGGGGTGCTATCGGCTGCTTCAATGGCGTTCTTTGTCAAGTATTCCAAATAACATCTAGACATGTATTGATATTTCGCACGCTTTGGTGTCGAGGGAGCATGGCCAATAGCCATGACTTGTTGGGGTTTATAAACACCAGTAATTTGTACAGCGTCTTCTAGTCTCATCACCCTGCTGTCGGCCATTCCTGTTGGATTTGGTGGAGTAGTGCTTAGGTTCTGTGTCAGTCGTCCAATATGCTGTCCTCGATGATGCTTTCGTCTTCTTGGGCCTAGAAAACTGCCAACAACATCCTCCTCGGAGTCACTATGACTTATAGCAAAAGACGGGGCATTCGGGTGCTGCTGAGAGCTCGAAGATAACTCTGGAGAATTAATAGAAGGTCGAACGCGTTTAGGAGCTTGTCTTTCCTCCATCAGCATCAATACATCGCCTGTAGGAGAGAAAGAAAATGTTGATAAACTTCTACGATCGATAACCTTGGGTGAAAATGCGACATCTGTTTGTACAAAGTGGCCGTCTTTATCAACGCTCCACAAAAGATCTCGAGTGCTCCAAAGTATGCCCGTGGGTGCGCTATTTGACACCTCAATTTCTTTGAATGGCATGGCAGACCTTGCAATATCCCATAGATGTACTGTCGAAAATTGGGCTCTATTGGCGCTGGTGTCATCATAAGAAACAGCAACTTGGGCAACTCTCTTCCCCTGACCCGTGGCTGTCCAACAAGCAGGCCTCCAACAGACATTCAAAATGGGCGCGGGTGTGGTGAAGGAATATCGAGGCCTTTGACCCCTCTCCGACTTTGACATATCCCACACATGACATTGCTGGTCTTTGCCTCCACTTATAATATGATCTCCATCCGGATGCCATGAAATTGAAAAGACAGCACTATTGTGGGCGGTTATCTTCATAATGGGAGCAGATGACTTCCTGAAGTCCCATTTCTGTAAGATTCCAGCATCTGTAGAGCAAGCAAACTCCATGCCATCCGTTGGCGACCATTTCACATCTCTAACAGCATCTGCGTTACATCTATAGGTAGCCACGCTTCGACGCGTGTCACGTAGATCGAAACACTTGACAGATCCATCTTGACTGGCTGATAAAAACCAATTCCCCTTGAATGAATTGATCGCAAGCTTATGAACCTGTCGAGGGTGTTCCTGAATTCGCGCAAGCTCGAATCCTTCTCCTCCTGCGCGATTGAGGTCATAGACCGTTATTCTTCCATTCCCGCCTGCTGTAACTATCGTAGAGCTGAATTGTGTATGAGACCATCGAACGGCCCTAATATTAAGTTGGTCTGAGGTAGCTGCCGTACCATCATGCCCTGTGGGATATGCAGATATCGAGGTGCGAAGATCAATATCCTCTGTAATCTTCGACCCTTCTGTTTTGACGATCTTGAAGACTTTCGGTCCAGCTATAACAGCGCGCGAACCATCCGGCGCGCGACCAAGACATGAAAGTGGTGCGCCGGCTGAATAGACGGTACCCTGTGAAGCAGTCGGTCGGAGTTGAGGCGAGTCATTGTTGGTGTCGGAAACCTCGACAGTAGTAGCAGTTTGACCAAGTAATTTCCTCATTATCTTTCCTTTGTTCATTTTTGCAGGTTGTAATGTATGTCCTCAAGGAGGCATCCTAAATTCGATCCCGAGCAACATTTGAGTAGTGAATAAAATGACGATATTACCTAGGTAGGAATCCAGCACATTGGGTTCTTCTGAACCTTATTATTAGAGACCTTGAAATGGTGCTGAAACTGCCGACCCAAAAAGTTACTAGGCTCACCGCCCGAGGAATGTTACCAATTAACACAAACACAACCAGACACAACACCAAAACAATGCATCATCTTGAGCATCTTCCCGTGTGTCAATTATTCCGTATGTGCCCGTTTTGTATCTTCGTATCTTCGTATCAGCTTGAAAACTTTTTATCTTCTGGACACTACAGTAATTGTGTTACAACATTATGATCTTTTAACCTTACCAGTGCTTCCTGTCTCCAATGAAGATATACGCTTTGGTGACATCTCACGAAGCATCTCACAAAAGGGGGCTATTGCAGTCTCGATGATTAACGGCTAGCTATAAAAATATAATATGCCCATGTGCATTTTGTAACCCGACAAATGCTATCTTTGGCTTCCTCTTTCGCTCTAATTTTACAAGACCTCACTCATACATCACTTACAGAGTACTACCTACCAAACCATTGGAGAACATGGCGGAGTCAAGATCAACTCGACATCATTTTGCGTGTTGACTACCTCGGAGTATTCTTGAATTCTCTCCAACTCTTGTCTCCAATTTCCGACAATGAATTGAGCATCTAGATAGTCTTTGGGGGCTCCTCGTGCGGCCATAACATCCAGTTTGCTCCGCAACAAGTACAAAACATCTAAAGCCTTGAAAGCTGTCTGATGTCCTGATGGACTGGGTACCACGAGAGTCTGTTGATGATTTCGTATATCCCGCGGAGTACCATTTGAGCCTGGTCGATTTGTTAGTACTTATTGCAAGATGAAATCTCATGAGATATCTACCTGGTGCAATTAACTCTACCTCGATGAGTCTTGTTTCTGAACATCCATCGTAATTTGGACCAGTCTTGACAAATATTTTCATTACATCTGCAACAAGTCGAGATTGAGGAATTACCAATCTATCAATGTCAGAATAAGCTCAAGAGTCGAGTGCTCATGGCAAGTTACCTGCTTTCTGGCTCAATAATTTGCCATATTTTCTTCATTGAAGTGTCTACCACGATATCAATATTATTCGTATCACGAGCGCTGCCACAGCACTTAAGGACAAATGCTCCCATTAAAGCATAATCGATGTTTCCCCTTTCTAACAGCCGAATGACGAATTCAGCTGCTGAGATGAGATTATTAATGTGCGGACTGAGTTCCAGCTCATCGTCCGAGTCGTAGTCGACTATATTATATCTCGAAGCCATTTGCGAGTTTTTTTTTTTCCGAAGGATTTGAAGAGGAAAAAAGGCTATAACCCAAATATTGAGATGACTCTCCAAGCGTTGGAATTTGATTGGAGGGTATAGCTGGTAAATGTGTCAAACATCCGCCATTTCATGCATTCGATTTGATGGAGGTCGGGGAGAGATCCTTCTTATCATATAATCCAACGAGATCTGAATCTGAGTCAATCACAAGTTTAAGGCAGGGCAGATGACCTTTTTTTTTCGGCTTTGAAGGAGGTCAAACTTCGGCAAAGGTTCCTCGCTTTGCCATCAGGCAGGTAGGCCAGAAGGTTCTTTAATTGCCCAGTAAAACTGCTCCTTCTAAACAAAACCGTCGATAATGCCTTGCCTCTGTCGATTTTCTGCAGCCTGCCACCTATATTCTATGTGTTGTGTATTACCGCTTTAATTTGTTTTGCAAAATGTGCAATCGTTACTCGCTTTCTGCTCAAATATGTAGCAATGATCAAATCGTCGGTGCAACTACTACTGTTCTTGATGAATGTAAGTATCTTTGATATCATTGTAAGCTTTTTTTTTTGCTCAACCGAAAATCGCAGGATCAACTCATCGTTGGAGTGGTCGTGGCCACCAACAGCCACTTCAAGCGGTCCACCAAGATTACGCGCGATCCTACTGCATATCCAACCACAGCCACAAAATTGTCAAAACTGTCATCTTCTGTTGGTTTCGAACCGACCAAAGCTTTTTCCTGTGTAAAATTGTGTTATTGAATGGGTTTAGATGAGTGCCGCGTGCGTTTCAGCATTCAACAACGCCATCTTCTGCTGGCCCGCCAATCTTGAGCCCCAATTCAAGAAGGCATCTTTTGAAGGTCTGGATTCTAGGTCTTACGCATGGTTTTAGTATGGTCATTACGAGATTCTGCAGTAACCACAAACCAGATAATGGTTATGACCAAGGCCGGAGTCCTGTCTTCTCACCAAAGAGATAATGCAAGCATTCCCCCAACTCCCCTTCCAGCATGTTTCATGCTTCCCTGTTCCAACTTTGATCGGCAATCGATGATGTTTACTACAGGTTGATTTACTCTTGTTTGATTGATGAGCGAGAAATACTCTCCGTACCACCTTTATTTATGTTTTCATACAAAAGTCGACCCCCTGATACAGATTTCAAAGACAGGTAAATGTGGCTGGCTCGACCTGCTGCCAAAGTGTTGTGGAAAAGGCATCAGAAGAAAAAGCGCCGAAAGAAGAACAATCCAAGTTATTCTGCTTCAAAGAAACAACCTAAAAGCAGTCGAGATCGTTGGTGGTCGGGCAAGGGACAAGATAGCCCTCGAGATCAAAGATGGTGGTCAGAGGCAGGGGCAAAGATAACTCCAGAAGAAAAGGCAATGGAGATGAGAAGTTTAGCAGACAAAGCATCGAGATTGAGGAGACAAGATGCAGAATTCGCCAAGGAAAAGGAACGATTTGAGGAGAAAGCCCACGTCGCCAAGAATGACCAGAGAGAAGCTGCGGAAGTGTTAAGAGAGAAGCACAGGGATGTAAAAAGAGATGAATCGGAATTGAGGAGGCGTGAATCGGAATTAAGAAGGGAGAAATCTCAATTGAAAGCAAAATATGCGGCAATTCGAGCGAAAGAAGAGAAAGTCGAAGATGAAAAGGCGACAATTCGAGAAGAGAAGAGAAATCTTCGACTTGCAAGGGAAAGATTGATGGAGTATAGCGAAAGAGTGAGAGAAACAATCGACAGGGCGGTGGACTATGTGGGTGGGTACCATGAAGAAGACGAGAAGTTGCCGACGAAGCAACTGTGGATTCGACGAATATTGTTCATGTTTACGGGCTTTCCTATTATCGGTTTATATTGTAAGTCCATACCACTTTATTGACCAACATACGAGGTGGGTTGCTAACAAATGTGCAGTCGTCGTTTTGACGGGATGCATGGCCAATAACGTGATATCCCGAGCCTTCTTTACCATCAACGTATTTAGCGGCGCATCTGACGAGTTCATCGTCCCGAATTTTCGAGTTGGTTATTTTGGTACGTAAACATTTTACACACCCGTTATATATACACAGACACATACATATATATCCCAATCATTACTAACCTAACCTCAGGAGTCTGTGCTATCATCCCTAGTACAGGTAAAGACGTCTGCACACCCAATTTTCCCTACGGTCGAACCGCCAGCAGCGCTGCTGCCATCGTGCAAGCCGCACTCTTCAAGGGAAGCACTGACACGTCTACCGCGGAAAATATCGAACTTGCAGTCGGTATTCAACAAAAACTTCTTCCTCTAATCCTCGTGCCTTTCTTTGCTTTCAGTATTGGAGTCCTCTGGACGATCTGGACTCTTCCTACCTCCAAAATGGCATCCGCGATATTGCAGTGGAGCGCGGGTAATATGATGAGTGCAGCGGGGAGTATTAGTACTGCTGGGGGAGCAATTCAGTTTGTCACGAGTAGGAGCACGGGGCAACAGATTAGTAGGGGGTTCCGTTGCAGATTGGACAGTATGTGATTGCGTTGGGGTGTTTGGGGTTCGCGGCTATGGTGGGGTATATTGATAAGAGGGGGAGGAGGAAGGCGCACGAGGGATTTAAAATGCAGTTCCAAGTGGAGGGATTTAAAGTGTAATGAAGGGGTCGCGTGCAGAGTGTAGGAATTTGAGGAGTTGCTGTAACGAGTATGGGTTCTTGTAAGTTAATTGTTGGATAATTTTTTCGATGGAGCACTGCGTCTATCTTTCTTTCTTTCTTTCTTTCGATGGAGGAGATTTTGTATCTGTAGTTGTATTTTAGTCTAGTTTGATCGAGTTTGATTGAGTTCTTTCGATTTTGCTCTTGTTTGCATATCTGGTCCGTAGCACAGTCAAGAATCGTATCAAGTAGATTTCTCAATCGCAGATTACCTTTCGATACTTTGCTTTCAGAAACATTCTACGGCTACGTATCATCGTAACCCAAGTCTTTTCGACATCTCTCTCATACTTGATCTCATAACTAAGAATTTGCAGAACCGCGCTTCCTACCAAACACTCAATGTTTCTGCTACTATTGTTCAAGCAAGATCAAATCTCCAGGTGAATAACGAAGATGCGCAACATAAACAAATACCCCAACTTACTTTGATCAACACCTATGGATTAACACACCACACAGGTGAATAGCGAGGTATGCAACACAAACATACACACTTTTACTCTCACCAACAAACAACACGGGTGAATAGGTCATGAGATATGCAACAAGAGCATCTCCTACCTACACTAAACCAATCTCTTGTGATTATTTGACAATTCTTGGATATACGTCATGCATTCACACTGGTAGTATATTTCACTATCCTTCCTATACCCAGTGTAGATGAATATCACGATATGCAACATATACGTTTTACCTGCAGAGCTCTTTCTCTGTCTTTGTTTTTGTTTTTGTTTTTGTTTTTCTGATCTCCATTTTCTGCTTTATGTACGAATAGTAAATGATGTTTGTTAGAATTAGTAAATGGTATTAGATATGCGATAGAACTATGTATGTATGTATGTACCATATATATTCATGAACTTCACTCAGACTTCACATCATACATCGACTTGGATTGAACATTGATATTCGAGTTATGCGATGCGAGGCATCTCTCCTGAAATAGATATAGTGTGATATGTAATAAGTATGTGTGTAATAAGCAACACGGGTGAATAAAATGCGATATGCAACAGAACGATATAGTTCTTCGTCATTGTGGGATTCATATGTGATAGATAAACTCATACCTCATATGACAGGTACACGAAGGTGAATGTATAGATATGCGACACGGCATTTATCGATCCTCTATTCGTACCTACGTTCTAATGAATATGAAGGTAAGTGAATGAGATGCGATATGCAACAGAAAGATGGAGGTCTCCTTTATTGGTGGATGTGTATAGAAGGCAGATTTAGACATATGTGATATGAGATTTAAGGTGTATAGAGAGAGAGATGCAATATGCAACGAGAGATCTAGCGCTTCCAAAAGTGTGTGTACGGGTATCGAAGTAAGAAGAGAGGAAGCTGGAACTTAGGTAGGTAGGTAGGTAGGTAGGTAGGTAGCAAGACATGCAACGAAGTATAGTGATTTCTGAGGAATAGAAATGAGGTGTAATAATTAGTATGATATGATGTTTATAAGTGTATGATGTATTGTTGGAAAGTATCTCTTTTCTTGAATGATATATGCGTGTTGACTCGATGATGATTCGATGAATCATAAAATATGCGGACAAAGTATAGTGATTCAGAAGGGGAGGAATCAAATATACCTAGGTAGCTACGTATATATTCTACCTATGAATAAATGACTTGATAAGTGACGAGAAACACGCGGGAGAATCGAATACGATATGCAACAAACAAGATTTGCTCCTTTTCAAACCGTACATTCACATCTGCACCTACTCTAACAAGCAGGACGACAAGGTGAATGCTAGATATCTAATCGAAAAGATACATACCCAAGTAGGTATATATCAGAGAACCTTTGAAAAAAGAATAAGTATACCTACCCAAGTACCTAGTAGCTACTTCATTGATTGATATACGAAGATCTCGAGTGAATTGTCTAAGATATGCAACAAGACGTGTAGATCTACTGAGTTGATATCAATAATATCTAGGGAGGTATGAATAGAGTAACCAAGGTGAATACTAAGACATGCAACAGAAAACCTCATGGCGGTATTTGAGAAAGAATGACGAGTTGGTGAATAGTGAGATATGCAACATGTTGAGGATGTAGGGAGAAGGGGCGAATGTGTATATTGTGGCGAGAAAGAAATGTATGTGTGTACAAAGTAAGGAAGGGAGGAAGGGGCAGGCATGATATGAGGTACTAGGTAACTTCCTTCTTGGAGAAATCTCTGATGTGATGTATACAATGTGACGACGATGATGAAAAAGAGAGCATATACCTATCTATCACAGTATCGTATATTTTGGATCCCATACCAACTCGAGGATACCTAGATACCTACACAACCAACCTAGGAATTGCCGATTCTCATCAGCATAGGTATGTAGTAGGTATACGTCACCAAAACCACCAATCAATCAATCAATCAATCCATCAGAATCGATGCAATCAATACGACCTCATCTCCCCTGGAAACAATTCACAGTTGACAATTCATCACGATTCACGATGAATCGATGTTGATGTCGATGTCAAAATCCAAAATCCGAAATCCAAAATCCAAATCCATCAAACTCCTTCCCGACACACAAACCCAAACCATAAACCCCGTGACCCTTTCCCTCATTCTCATTACCATTGCCCGATCCACCCACAAGCGCACCAACAGACAAACCATCGAAAAACCATCGATCCATCGAACCGATCACTCCCTCCTTCCCTTCCCCCAAATCTCGATGTTCGTGCACCTCCGAAGTCGTCACACAAAAATTATCCATCGACCCAGACCAAGCCGGTCAGGCAGGCAGGCATCAATGATCTCAAGTCCCACCTAATCCAACCACCAGCGTCATCGGCCTCCATCCATCTCATCGCATCTCAACCATCATCATCCATCCATGCCTCCCTCAATCCTCATCCGATCGTACGATGTGATGAATACCCGGTGTGAAAATAACATCCAATGACACCATCACGATTCAATCCATCACCCCTCATCAGCAATTCAATTAAATTATTTTCATCGACGATGTCAGACATGCAACAAATCTCAATATCCCCCATCCCCCTATTCCACTTCCCAGATTTCTTCAAACAAGCCCTGGAAAATATGCCAAATGTTGGGAAGAATCTCATCTCCAGCCCGTGAAATCGCGATCTCGGTGATGACTAAGCAATCTTCTTCCTCCCCAATGAATGTTCTTCGATCCTCGCTTCCCTCACTCCTTGGCATTTCTGTCAAAGAAGATCTGAAAGAAGTGCTCTGCATCGAGAATTCGCCCTGTGTGTTGGGATGAAGAGCTATGCATCGATGTATCTATGTATATACACACATCGAAAAGAACATCATCACAAAAGCAAGATCGCGATGCACATTTTCCAGACATGCAACAAATGCCACACGCGAAGAATAAATTAAGGAGGAGGAATTCTTTTGTTGCATGTCTATAATTCTTTCATCGCGATGGGAGATTCGTTTGATGCATGTCCGGCTTCTTTTCTTTTCTATCACCTCTCCACCTACATAAGTATTATATGTCATGTGAATTATCGAATGTGGGGATTTAAGCATTTCAGACATGGAGACTAATTTTTAGTTGAGACGTTGGATTTTGTTCCATTCGATAGGTATGCACGTACATCTGTATAAACAGAAGGCTTATCTCAGCCTTGTGAGTGTACTACAAGTACATACGTGTATGCATGTATGGAGGATGATATACTCACTCGATTGCAGAGACGAGTATTATATTAAGATTCACACATTACCACGATGGTGATGCGGTCCAGATTGAGGATATTTTGTAGCGTCTCAAAGTCAATCTCTTCATAATGTAGAATCAAAGTATTGACGATCACAGAAAGATGATTTGGATACCGCTTGATTTGGCTCGAAGAGAAAAGGGGTTGAGCTAATGATCAAGACAAACCAATACGCTTTATACACATCATATCGACATGCTTATACCTGCCTAGCCAGGACCATCCATAAACAACTTTTCATTTCCACTACAATTGTTGATATAAAATACTTGGAAATTCTCATCTAGCATATATCAAAGTCAAATCGCTTACTTTCATTCCAAGTAAGTATCTATCTGACAAGTAGCTCTACCCACCTTTTGCGCAATGCGATATCCATTGCAACTATATCACTGATTGTTCTACAAGCACGAGAGATCATAGATGGTAGATCAAAGTAGGTGTTGACTAATCTCCAATCTCGTATCCCGCCTATACTATACTAAAGGGTGTAGAACGACGTCGAAATATAGCAAAAGATCTTTACATTACACAAACACTGCTTCCCAAGAGCCCGGTCTGTGCTTGCGATAAGCAACAAAACAACATGTCGAAGGGTTTTCAACATGTGACTTATTTGTGTAGATGTTTCGCCAAAGCATGCGAACCCAACAAGTTGTATCGAAAAAGGTGTTGGAAGCATAGCGAAAGCATGAGTATATGAAGCAGACACAACACGACAAACCTTTTCACCTTCACACAAACAACTCTTCAACAATGCGGTCTGTGCTCTAGACATGCAACAAAACCACATGGCAACAAAATGGGTAGTATGTGATCCGTGCTTGACATATGCAACCATGATCTTGAGTCTTACTCAGCTGTTGGGAGGGAAAGGTTTATTGAATAAATTTGGAGGTTATGAATAGAGCATCGAGGTATCGCCTGGTGCATGAAGGGGGGCACCAGAGGCCGCGCAACAGGGAAGGTAAATGACTTGAAGCAAGAGACATTGGCAACCAAAAATCGAACAGTGCTCAAATGAATTTTGTGAAGGTGCAATAAAGAAAAAGAAATTGCTTTCAGTAGGTGCTTGGATGACGA